GGGGCGGGGGTACGGAAGAAGGGGGGGGGGGGGAGATAAGAGAGCTCCGTCCCAGACTCCCCCCTCTCCTTTGTCGTAGGCCAGTTGCCCCCAAAGTGCCCCCCCCCATCTCCTCTGCCTCCTCTAAGTGGGCAGCCCGGTTGCTCGGCCCTGTTGGAGAGACGGGGGTACCCTTCACAGCGGCCGTTTTCTCCTCCAGGGGAGCTGATCTGGGTCGCCTGGAGATCAGCTGTAATGGGGGTAGGGGGGTGTCTCCAGGCCCCACCTGGAGGTTGGCAAGCATCCAATCAGGTTCGTTCCCTCCTGAACATTCTCCTTGAAAAGTAGGCAGACAGAAGGAGTGATTTCAGCTTAGCATACCTGTGCTTCGCGTACTTTATTTAGTGAAGAACAAGACAACTTTAGCCGGCTCACAGGCCGGCTTATACCCCCGTGAATCCACCACCCATAACACCCCCCCACTTCCCAATAGGTCCAAACTAGTGGCTGAGAGTCCCACAGGCCCTCTGATTGGTGTGGCTAGGATCCCTATCGTCCATTGTTGACGCTTGTGCTGGACCACGTGGTGCCCAAGCTGACCATGTGGTTGGGTCCTGATACATTACACTCCTGCTTTCTGATTGGACACAATTATACATACATAAGCTCATAGGATTGTTCCAGTTTACAATCCTTTACATGAGAATTAATGCAGTGAAGACATAACAGGAACAAAGCCCCATTTCAGGCCGGGCTGGGCCTCCCTTGCCCTTTCGGCCCCGCGGTCTGCCGGGAGCCCCCTTTTCTGCCCCCCCTCACCTCCCCCTGGAACTCTTTTTGTGCCCTCCAGAGGAGGAGGAGGAGGAGGAGGAGGAGAGGCGGGCCTCTCTCTGGCTGGAGCTCTGGGGAGTCAAATGGAGTCGATCAGGCCAGGAAGACCACGATCTGGGCCTGCCCTTGGAGACTGCCTCCCATAAGGGGTGGGAAAGCAGGGCCAGAGAGAGGCGCTCCCGTCTGTCGCTTGGTTGGGCTCCATTCGTGTACTTTGCACCGAGAAGAACCCAAGTGGGGAGTAGGCCAGGGAGCGGAGGCTGGCTGAATGCCGGCCGTTGAGCCCCAAGGAAGACCTCGGGGAGGCAATGGGGCTCCTGGATGCCCCCCTTTCCCATAGGCAGCCTCCTCTTTCTCCTGCCCCCACTGCCCAGGGCAAAGGGGGCGATCCTGCCCCCTTCTGCCCCCCCCCTGCCCAGCCCCCAGGCCTCGAGGGAGCAGAAAGACTTCTTTACGCAGAGAGTGGTTCCAAGGTGGGATTCGCTGCCAGAGGATGTAGTGATGGCCAGGGGAACAGACGGCTTTAAAAAGGGGGTTAGAGAGGTTTATAGTGGATCAGTCTCTCCGTGGCTCCCAGCCCTGGTGACTGAGGGGAACCTCCACCTTCAGGGGCAGTCAACCTCTGAATCCCAGAGCCAGGAGGCAACCTCAGGGGAAGTCCTCGGCCTCCGTGCCCTGCTTTTTGGCCCCCCTCCAGAGGAACTGGCTGGCCATTGAGGGGACACTGGACCAGACAGACCCTCCCTGGTCTGGCCCAGTGTTCCCTCTAAGCTGAGTTAGGGTGAGCTGGACCACAGTTTTTTAGCCTCCAGCTCACAGATTTCTTGTCTTAGCTCAGGAAAGATGTGGCTCCAGAGCAAACTGATTGATGCAGCAGCCCAAACGCTCGCTCATGACTTTCATGCCAGCAGCTCACAAAGCAGGATTTTTGCTCACAAGGCTCCACAGCTTAGAGGGAGCCTTGGTCTGACCCCCTCTCCTGATGTTCCTGGGGGGAACGCTCTGGAATGGGATTCCAGAATCTCTTCAACAAAATTCTTTTAAAAATGTTTAAAAGTTCATCCATTTCCAGTATACAGATTGAAAACTTCATTTCCCGTTTCTGGCACCTTTTTTTTAAAAAGGCACTCTCTGTGTCTTCTGGGGGGTGGCACCTGGGTTTTGGACACAGTGTCACACAGAGTATTGGACTGGGTGGGTCACTGGCCTAAACCAACATGGCTTCTCTTGTGTTCTTATGAATACAAATCTAATTGATTCAAAACTGGCCGCCAACTTCAGGAGGACCGTGGCAGTTACAGGGTCAAAAAATGCCTCGCAGCTCTCTGGCTAGAAACTGCCAGCCCCTTGCAAGGTTGAAGCCCCCCTCCCCCCAGTTGCTACCATTTCCCCCCTTTCAGAGAGGGAATCCAGTAGAGCAGAACAAAGTTTGAGTCCAGAGGCCACTTTAAGACCAACAAAAGTTTTATTCAAGGTAATAGCTTTTCGGGTGCTCACACACTTCCTCAGACACATTGAAGTGGATGTTATCAGTCCATACATATAGATAGAGGATGAACAGCAAATCAGCAGACACATAATGAAAATGTTTTAACAGACGTGAGAACCAAAGAGGAATAGCAAGCTTTATATGGTCACCATTTGTTTGGATTCAATTCTGGGGGGGGGGTGACGGACAGTGAAACAAAGAAATATGTCAAAATTGGTGAGTAATGTGTAAGGTTGCAGCTGACTTATGGAGTCTCCAGAAGGGTTTTTGTTGGAGTTTCTTATATAAATTCAGCAGAGTTAAAAATCAGTTTAGCAATGCAGAGTAAAATAATCAGACCCAGAGTCCATGTGTGTTTAAAATATAAAAGTTTTACTACATTCTAGCATAGGGAAAGGTAACTGGGAAGTAAAATAACAACACAGCCAATAGCTACATCCTTACTCTACCAAGGACAAGAATAGAAGAGCTGCAATGGCTACTCTTACATGCTTCTTCTTGAACAGAACAAAGACGGGAAGAGGAGCCATAAAATGCAAACACTTTGACACTTTGCTCCCAATCAAACTCCTGGATCAGGGATGCTTTTTGCGGGCTGGCAGACCTAAACTAACATTGGCTTACACAAAAGCATGTGATTTCCTGTAACAACAAAACAGACATTTAACCCAATATATACTGAGTGTTTTTATCTTGCCATACCCAATAGTTTTCAAGGCAGGAGGCATTCAGAGGTGGATTGCCATTGCTTGGCTCTGCGTAGCGACCCTGGACTGACTTCCTGGGGGGGGGGGTTCCCCCATCCAAACACTAGCCAAGGCTGACCCTGCTTATCTTCCAAGGTCTGACAAGATCAGGCCAGCCTGGGACCTCTGGGTCAGGTCAGCCCTACCGTACAGGGTTGTTGTGTAGGGGGGAAACAGGGTGAGAGGGGAGATAATGACCCTGTAATCTCCTCGGAGCCCCTCGGAGGAAGGGTGCGATAAACTCTAAACCAAGAGGCTTCCACAGACCTTGGCTTGAAGGGCTCAGCTGAGAGACTCACGTAGACAACACTCTGTAAAGTATTGTTTCTCAATTCGACAAAATGCAAACTGGGAACAGTCCCTCCAGTCATCCTGCCAAATCGTGAACTTCCCAGCCATCCCAGCAGAACCCGAGAGCAGTTTTAGCAACAGTCCGTCAAAATGCTGCCCGGATGCAGATTAACTCTGGGGAGGGGGCGGAATCAGTAGTAAATTTGCTGACGGTTTCCCAGATGTGAGGCCTGGAGCCGTTGGGACTAACTGATGAGCCCTGTCAGAGAAAAGAGTGGTAAAGAGTGTTAGAGGCTGGAGAAGATAAACAAACAGGACTCAAAACAAAAAGCACAACTGGGCAGTCTGGCGGGATTCCCACCCACCTCCCACCAGGCCAGAAATGTTACGGGCCTCCTCCATTTCACAAAACTATTTCCTTCGCATTTCAATTAAAGCACCCTCTGCTGGCACAGAAAAGAAGAAACCCAATGTGAGGAAGGTCTCTGGCGAAGGGAGCCTGGACTCTCGAAAGCTTCGACTGTGAAATTCTTCTTGGTCTCTCAGGGGCTCCCGGACTCGGATGGGACTGGCCCAGTGAAAGCCAATGCCACACTGGATGAGATTTACTCAATATCAACCATCTTTGAATGCAGCCAGAGTTTCAACAGCTTCCATTCCTTGGTGGTGAAGGCGGGGGACTCAGTGGAGTACATGGGGAATGTTATGAGAAGCCCTCCCTCTACTTGGCTGGGGAAAGGCCCCCAATGCACCATGGGAGAGATTTTTATATCCCCCCATTTCTCCCCAGTGCGGATCCAAAGCACCTTTCTGCTCTCTTCTCTCACCCTCCATTTTATCCTCATAACAACCCTGTGAGGCAGGCTAGGCTCAGAGTGTGTGTGGCCGGCCCAAGGTCACCCAGGGAGCTTCCAGGATGGAGCGGGGATTCGAACCTGGGTCTCCTCACTCCCTGTCTGACACTTTAACCCCTACGCCATTTTGGATTTCATCAGTCTGCTCAACTGATGGCTCAAACAGTTAAGGGAGGATTCCCCCTCTGCCTACTGCCAAACAATGGTATATCCCTCTCCCCCCCTCCTTTCTACCCACTGTCCCAACTAATCACAACACAGGGACCCCCACCCCCCCACCCAGCCCCCCCGTGAGCATCACCTGGCTGAAGAAGGGGGAGGAGGTGAAGGACCACATGGAGGAAATGGATTTCTATCCTGAGATGGACAACTCCGTCCACAAGCTCTCCTAAACCTGACCTTAAAATGGCGGAAAGAGGAAGCTGCTGGTTTGAACCTTAACCCTTTCCTGAGCTCCCAAAGCAGCCTTGAGGCAGTCTCTCACCCACACCTTCCATCTACGAGGCAGGGGGATCACATGACCGGCCTACCTCACAGGGCTGCTGGAAGGAAGACAGAGATACTGTACGTGAAGTGTTCAGGGAATGCCCACAAGAAATGCAAAGCCGCACTGTCTTCGCATAGCCAGTTTCAAACTTTGGCCAGTTCCTTCATGCCAGGCAGGATTAAAAACAAAGGTATTGGAGGAGATGTACAGACGGCCTTACCTGCAGCAGGTACTGTGGGGGCCGCTATGGAGAAAGAGAGAGAGAGACAGTCAAAGCCCTTTCAGGGGTGTTGATTTCTGTGGTTTTCCGGCACTATGAACTCCCCCACCCCGTAATAATTTCAGAAGAGCCCTGCTGGGTCAGACCAGTGAGGCTCCAACTAGTCCAGCATCCTGACTCATACAACAGTGGCCAACCAGTTCCTCCGGAGGGCCAACCATCAGGGCAGAGAGGCCGAGGCCTTCCCCTGATGTTGCCTCCTGGCTCTGGGATTCAGAGGCCGACTGCCTCTGAATGTGGAGGTTCCCCTCAGTCACCACGGGCAGTAGCCACTGATAGACTTATCCCCCAAGAATCTGTCTCATCTCCTTTTAACAAGAATATAAGACGAATAAGATTTGCAGGAAGAGCCTGCCCCAGAAGTCCAGCTCGAATGCCAAACCAGACCAGGCGTCTAGTCCTCAAGATGACCCATGGAGATGTGCAGAAGGACCCCCTTCTCAGTCTTTGGGTCCTCTATGATAATTCTTTAAAAAAACGACAAGAGTCCTGCACTTCGCAATATATTCCACCCCAGTTCACTCTTTTGTACCCATTAAGCACACTTCTTGTTCTTACTGGGTTGGGGGTGGGGGGAGAGGCCTTGATCTAATCGGAGGAGACCCGCTTAGTACACAGAACCAAAACTAGAACTGCCCGGGGAAGGAAGAGACTACTGACCACCACTACACCCTTAAGACCACCACTACACCCTTAAGACCACCACTATGCCCAGTGGGGAACGGAAGCTGGAAAAGTCCTGGGTGGTGGGAGGGAGGTTGCGGGGGGGGCAGTCCCCTTCAGCGCCTTCCATGCCGTGTCCCTCTCTCACCGGCCGTCCACTCCCACCTCCTTACCTCGCCTGGTCCTCAGGTAGAAGGAGACTCCCGCGGCCCCAAAGACCACCCCCAGCACAGCCCCCAGAGCCCCCGTCCACACTTTGCTCTGGGCAGAGTTCGATGACTGCGGCTCTGTGGAAAGAGAAGGAATCATGTGTGAAAAGACGGCTCCGGGTCAGGCTGTGTCTGTCGGATTCAGGATTTCACGGGGGGGGGGGTGTTGGTCCACACCTCAGTCAGATCTCACAGATCGCAGGTCCCAGGCTGGGCTGTGAGGTCCGCATGCTTGTTTGTTAGTTAGATTTTTTTAGTCGCTGCTCACCCAGGAGGTCTCATGGCGACTTATATTAAAGCCACATATATAGGGTAAACATAGAAACGTCAGGAACAAATATAAAACATTAACACTCAAAAGTCAAGCAATTAAAAGATGTGGCTAGCACCACACCACTAACAAAAACAGCCCGAACGTGTGGATTGCCCTCCAAAGGCCAACCTAAGCAATTCAGGCTTGCATGCCCTGTGGAGAATAAACAAGTCTGGCAGGGTCCGGGTGTCATCTGAGAGCGCATTCCACAGGGCAGGGGCCGCAATGGAGAAGGCCCTTCCCCTGGTGGCAGCTCACTGACCCTTCCTGCGGCCAGGAACCTGGAAGAGGCCCCTGGATGATGACCAAAGGGAGTGCTTGGGGAGGGGGGATGTAACAGGAGAGGTGGTCCTGGATGTAGGAGGGGCCCATTCACGTCTTGCACCACCACCCAGGGAGCGTGGGGGGGGGGTCCTCCCCCAAAGACTTGGTCCTGTGGGCCATTCCCAGGCCCTTTGCTTGCCTGCTCGCTTGCTTTGCTTGCCTGCTCGCTTGCTTTGCTTGCTTGCTGTAACTAGCTATCGGGAGGTGATCATGAGACCGTGCAAACTGGCGCTGCCAGACTGAGTTATCTGAACAACCTTGAGGAGGAGGGAGGGCTTGCATTCCACTGCTGGTGTGAATATTTCTGCTCTCATGGGGCACGGAGCGTCACCCGTTCATGATGTAACCTCCCGCCGGGAGAATTCCTGCCCGCGTGCTTGGATTTCATTTGCTTAGCCATTTGTAGCCTCGTGGTATATGTAGTGATGCATCAGTCCCACAGTCATTCCTAACAATGTTCTTGTATACTGGCAATAGACCTGTAATCTAATAAAGCATAACGATTCCATGGAATCTCCATGCGGAGATTTGCATGCTGTTGATCCTGACAGGTGGACAGCCAGGAGGGTTGGCAGTACTGGTGGCCAGTCCGGTGAAGGGCTGGAGGTTCTCTCCAACAACAACGAGGAGGAGGAAAGCAAATCCTGGCCTGCAGCCACCAACCCCAGAGGCAGAGAGGGTGTGTGTGTCGGGGGCGGAGGAACTGCGTTTAGACCGTATTTATTTTCTGCCCAGGTTGTGTTGCTGTGCCTGTGCTTCTTTTCTGTGCCTAACCTTGTACATAGTTTAAATAAATCTTTTGGCGTTATAAAGCCTGGTAGTGCCTTGACCACATAGTCCTCCCCGCTCAGCACGTTACCAGAGGCTGAAGGGAGGCCAGGGAACCCAAACGGGCCCAAATAGGAAGTGTTGCCAACTCTCCAGGGGGCGCCCAAAGATTGACGTATCCACTTTCCCGGGTTGGGGGATCAGCCAGAGGGGTCTCACTGTCCCTCTAGGAAGACGGTGTCAAACCAGTGAGTGGTGGCAGCAACTGAGGAAGGAAATAGTCCCACCAGGCAGGGTGGACAGGCAAAAACAGGGGCTTGCGAGCCACAGAAAAGCTATTCAGTCTCCCAGGGCTGAGGGCAGGTCCCCATTTCGCCACACACGATATAAGCTTTCATGTGCAAGTATCTGACGAAGTGAGCTGGCACGCGAAAGCTTATACTGTGTGAATGAAACTTTGTTGGTCTCAAAGGTGCCACCGGACTCAGACTTTCTTCTGTCTTCAGGGTAATGTGAGCAGTGTTCCCTCTAAGCTGAGTTAGTGTGAGCTAGCTCACAGTTTTTTAGCCTCCAACCTAGCCCTCCTGTTTTGGTCCCATCATCCTTGCCAAATACGTAAGAATATCTTTGCAGGATCAGTACGTGATCTGACACCAGGCCTTCCAGCCAGAATCCTCCCTGGGAAGCCTCTGACGGAGGACCTTGGAACTCCCCTCCACTGGGGAAACGGGGAATCCCTCCAGAGTCTCTCACCCCACTGGACGGTGAAGGGCTCCTTCCGGCTGCTGTGCTCCACCTGGCAGGCGTAGAGGTCTCCCCGCTGGGGCACCGTCTCCAGCATCGCCTGGTTCAGGAAGGTCCAGTCTCCGTTGTGGACCTCGTCGGCGTACCCCACCCCTTCCGTCTGCTCCTGCCCATTCTTCAGCCACCTGAAACGAACCCCCGAGGGATAATATCCTGTCGCGGTGCAGAGCAGGAGGCTGTGGTGGGCCAGGGGGCCTGCCTTGGTGTGGGAGATCTTCACTGTGGGCTGATCTGGAGGAGGGAGAATAAAGGGGGGAAACTTCAGAGACAGGGGAGAACCAGAAAAGCACCTACAGAGCAAGAAGACGGAGAGGCTATCATATCTACAGTAGCCGCGATATTTCAAAAGACACAACCCCCCTGGGTTCTCTCACCTGCCAGCACAGCCGATAATCCACTAATCCACCTTCCAGTCCCTGCATAAAACCTGTAGACACAAACGCACAAAGGCATCTCTCTCTCCCTCCTTCTCCCCAAACACTAAGAGTTGCTTTGCCGGATCAGACCCCCCCCTCCATCCAGGCCGGTATTCTCTTTCTAATAACAGTAGGCCCGAAGCCTCCCAGAACTGACCTGCGGGGTCAGTGTGAACTCTCTGGTAGGCCCTGTTGATAGGGGGGGACTTGCAGTTGCTGCTGCTGCTGCAGATATACATCTTTCTTGGACCGATAGCTGCTGACATACGTACCTATCCCATAGGACTATCATGAATGTGACACAGGCCAAACTAGGCCTTCCCCTGATGTTGTCTCCTGGCTCTGGGATGCAGAGGTTGACTGCCTCTGAATGTGGAGGTTCTCCTCAGTCACCATGGCTATTAGCCATTGATAGACTTATCCTCCAGGAATCTATCTAATCCCCCTTTAAAGCTGTTTATTCCTGTGGACATCTGTGATGGGCAGCCCTTAAAACAGGACTCAAGAGGTGAAGAGTTGAATGGGAACAGTTAAACTCTGAGCCCCCGTCCCTCCTTTGCCTTTGTTTGAGCCTCCCGAATCGCGGGAGAGCTCGACCAGCCCCCCGGGGGAGGGGGCTGGAGCAGGGGGCTTTTTTTCCTGCCCCCCCCCCGCGGCTGGCAATGCGGGGGGTGACTGGGACTGCCCCGACGCCGGGTGAAGGAATGGGAGAGGAACATGGCTTCCATGTTCCCAGAGATGCAGCCACCCGTGTTTTTAATTACCAGGACTATTGCAAACAAAAGAACTGCAGCAGCACAAAGAAACAAAAGAAGCTTTGACTAAACTATGGAAAGGGAAACGAGGGAAGAAGCTTAAACAGCTGGAAAAAACGGAGTCCTTCAAATATTGGCGTCCAAAAAAGGTGAAGTAAAATGGCCGGGGGAATAAAAAGGACAGATGTACAATCAGAGACTTTGGTGGGGGGAAGAAAGGAGACCCTGAGAATAGTGTTGGTTTTGGTGAAGCTATGGGAGACTTGGGGGGGGGGAAATTCACTGACTTTACGTATTGTTTGGAGGTTGAAGGAGATAGAGATGGAGTGTACGGAAAGTAATGAGGAGGAACGAGAGGAAGAGCTGGAAAGTGGTGAGACAGACATGGAGAAATTCATTAGAGAGATAAAAGAGGCGGTGTGGAGAGGTTGTCAAGAAGCATGTTTGGAAATAAGGAAGGAGAATGTTTAAAAGATGGAAACAGAGAGAACGGAAAAGCAGGAGCATATTACTGTGGAGCATATCACTGTGGAGGAGACTCTTGAGAAGGAACGGACAGATAATATGGATAGTGTTAAGGAAGAGAAATTGGATGATGAGGTGGAACTGTTAAGAGCTGATGTAGAACTTAAAGGAAGGCAACCTGGACTTAAATTGTGTTCTTTAAGAGAAAATAATCAATGTTTAAAAACTGGTCGAGGGAAAAATAAAAAGACCAAAAGGAAAACGCTAATGGCTAAGGAAGTTTAAAAGTAATAACAGACCCAGGACTGTGGAAAGAGTACGGCAAATGTACAAGAGAAAGAGAAAGAGATTTGAAAGAGAAAACTAGATGCCTCCCCTCTCTTTATAGATTGAACTGGAAGTTTGACCTGAACTGTATTGGTTTATGAACTGAAGTATTGATGTTTCTATTTAAACCTATTTATCTGGATGACTGACCAGAAATGTATTGGCTTATGTAATGAAATATTGGATTTTGTATTTAAACGCATTTACTTATGAATATGAGTTGATTATTTATTGATTATTATTATTATTATTTTTAATCCTTTTTAAGGGGAAATTAGAGGTGATTATAAGGTGTATCTGAAGATAAGGGAAGTTAATAAGGTTGGCTTAAATAATTATATAGGTTTAATGGAGTAGGGGGAAAATAAATTGGTAATATGATGAGATTAGCGAGATAGAATGATTATAAAAGATTTTAGTGCATTGGTAAACGATTGGGGGAAAGTGTTGATATCTGTATTTAGAATTAATTAGCTGGATGAATTGCCTGAAATGTATTGGTTTATGAAATGAAATCTTGGTATGTCTATTTAAACTTATCTCTCCCTTATAATAAAAGAGTTTTGGGTGCCAAAGTTCTAAAATGCACTCCTTTAGTGTTAGGCCGAAAAAACTGCCACTCGGAAGACACTGGCTGGGTTCATTGGCTGCTTTGTGCAGTCCCGGCCAGCGTTCCAAGGTCATTTACATATGGAAGCTGATTGGACTACACTCCATTCCACACCTCAAACAAACTCACCCCCCCCCCCGCAAGGCAGTTGGAATTTTCAGTTTGGAGAGGAGAATGATGTCAGCTGCTCCCTAGGCAGAGGCTGTGTGTGTGTGTGTGGGGGGGGGTTGTAAAACTTAAGACAGACAGGCAGATAGGGTTGCCAACTCCAGGTTGGAAACTTCCAGGATATTTTAGGGATGAAGCCTGCTGAGGGTGGGATCTGAGGAGGAGGAGGAAGAGGGGGACCTCAGACAGATACAATGCCATGCTGCCCACACTCCAGACAAGCTGTTGCCAGTCTCCAGGTGACAGCTGGAGAGATCTTAAAGCTTTGGTGCTACTTCAAAGTTCCCCAGGAGCCCAAAACAGAGAAGTGTTTTGGAAAATCTTGAGGAATTGTTTGGTGCATTTACGATGGGGCTCCTGGGGAACTATTGTTGCCAATCTTGGCCCAGCAGCCATCAAACCATTCTCTTCAACCCCCTGCTGTGCAGCTGACTTCCCCCTAGGGTTGCCAATCTCCAGGTGGGACCTGGAGATCTCCCACTGCTACAATTGATCTCCAGATGACAGAGATCAGTTCCCCTAGAGAAAATGACTGCTTTAGGAGGGTAGACCCTATGACATTATACCTGCTGAGTCCTTCCGCCCCCCCCCCCCGCCCAATGCTGCCCTCTACAGAATCCACCCCCCAAACCTCCAGGTATTTCCCTCCTTAGAGCTGGCAACCCTACAATCCCCTCAGTGCCTGTTGGGAGTGGGTGGTGGGGGAGGGGAAGGGAGTGGGCGACCGGAGGCTTCTGCCTCCTGTCTCCGGTCCTGGAGTGGGGGGGGTGGAAACGGACCCGGCAGCCGGAGGCTTGCACCTCCAGTC